TCGGCACAGCCGGTGGCTGTCTTGATTGATTATGTGGGGGTGGGAGACTCCAGGAACGTACGGGATTGGCGTGCCAAGCGGCTTCTTGTAGCGCTGTGGGAATTGCTTCCTGGGTAAAGAGATGTAGTCCATTATAAATTTCCCCACTGGTAGGAGAGGATCCCAGAGAACAGACCCCAGCGTCAGGCTGCCTGGCTTCATGGCCCGGCTCTCGAAGAGCTGCAAGGCCCTAGGTAAGGGGCCCCCGTTCCCTCCCCTCTCAAACAGGCTGTTGTGAGGATAGAATGAGATGCCGTGTGCACAGCATTTAGCCCAGTGCCTGGCATGTGATGTGGCCTCAATAAATAATTAGCTTTCGCCATCTTGCCCTGCTCTCCGGGGCAGGTTCCAGCTGGCTCCAGAGTACATACGATGGAGTTGGCCCTCAGGAAGCATTTGCCCAGCCAGGCTTGATGTGGCCCCAGAGGAGTCTCAGCTATGGCTTCGGGGTAACACGTGTGGAGAGAGTCAAGTATCAATTGAGGGCTGTGTTGAACAGTGACCTGGCTTAGCATAGAGCACAGGGGAGCCTAGAGGTTGGGAGTGGTCAGGGTCAGGGTCATTGGCTGTAGGCTGACCTTGGAGACTGAGTAGGCTCTCATGCTGGGCAGCTGCAGAAGCAAGAGAAGGAAAGACATAAGGCACTTGAGTAAGGTGACCAGACGTCCCGTAGGACAGTCCCAGTTTTGAACAATTTGTCCCGCAGCGTTTTTAAAAAGTCCCGATTTTTGGAAAAATTCCAAATTGTTCAAAAGTGGGATCTCTGGTCACCTTACACTTGAGGAATGGTGTAGGGGGAGCAGGTGAGAAGCATGTTTCAGGAGGTCCTCTTAGGCAGAGAAGCCAGAACAGATTCCCAAGGTCCTTGTGAAGGACAGAGTTGCTAGGTTAGCAAAAAGGAATATGGCCACCTATTTAAATTTGAATTTCAGAGAAGCAACACATAATTTTTTAAAGTGTGAAGTATGCTGTAATGATTACACAGCTTATCCTTCTAGTAAAAGTTTTACTTCGTTATTTATCTGAAATGCAAATTCAACGGGGCAGGCTGTATTTGATGGGACAGGCCTATTTGTGTGCCTGGTCCCCAAAAGGCATTGCTAAAATGCAGATAGGTTTTGGACACAAGAAGAAAAAGAGTCTTGTTAACTTGTTGGAGCAGATTTATTTTTCAGGGGAGCCTGAAAGGAGAGATAGGACCTGAGGAAGGCCCGCCGAGGGTTAAATAGCAGGGGGGTGGGGCGGGGGGCAAAGAGTGGACCCAGCAGGACACACAGGGCCGGCAGCAGTGGGAGGGCCTGGCCTGGAAGAAGGTGAGGGTGAGGGCGCTCAGGCGAGGCTGGGGCTGACCTCAGAGCTGGGAGCAGTCTCTGCCCCTTCCCCAGGTTGACTGGCTGAGCTGACCATCGTTTTGTAGGGCTCCCTGTACCCAGCTCTGGGCTGTCGGCAAGGGCTGCGGCTCACAGGTGGGATTTGAGAACAGGCGTGACGGGGACAGAGATTGTGGGAGAGAAGACTCAGCCCTGGGACTGCCATGGCTGTTGTCATAATTAATGGCAGGCGGTTGGTGTGGCTGGTGTGTCGGCGCTGGAGTGTGGGGAAGGAGGAGGAGAGAGGAACAGGAGGCAGGAGGTGAGGTCAGCCTTCGAAGGCCTGGACCCCGCCTTGAGGCCTCTGGGCTTTGTTCTATAGGCGAGACAGAGGTGCTTGACGCTGTGCCGCCTGCCCAGTCCGAAGGCCACCTCCCAGCATCCTGTGGCCTCACCCGTCCTGCTTTCCCACCCCTTGTCCCTCAGCCTCTACCCAACACAAGTCCCACGAGGCCTCCTTAGTAGCGCGTGTGCCTCTTCGTTATGACAGTGGAGGTTCAAGTCACAGTTACTCACCTTTCTTCCTCCCCACTGAATAGCACCAACACGCGTGAAACATTTACACACCCATGTGCTTTTTTAATTTATTTTTATTTTTATTTAAAAAAAATTTTAATTAAATTATCTGTGCACCCATGTGCTTTTTAAAATATATATTTTTATTGTTTTCAGAGAGAGAGAGATAGAAACATCAATGATGAGAATCATTGATCGGCTGCCTCCTGCATGCCCCATCGGGCCACAACCTAGGCATGTGGCCATGACTAGAATTGAACCCAGGACTTTTCAGTCTGCAGGACTTTTCCGTCTGCTAAGGCCCACATGCTTTTTTTTTTTTTTTTTTTTTTTTTTAATATATTTTTATTGATTTTTCACAGAGAGGAAGAGAGAGGGATAGAGAGTTAGAAACATCGATGAGAATCATCGATCAGCTGCCTCCTGCACACCCCCTACTGGGGATGTGCCGGCAACCAAGGCACATGCCCTTGACCGGAATCGAACCCGGGACCCTTCAGTCTAGAGGCCGACGCTCTATCCACTGAGCCAAACCGGTCCTGGCGGCCCACATGCTTTTTATTTTTATTTATTTTTATTTTATTTTATTGATTTTATACAGAGAGGAATGGAGAGAGATAGAGAGTTAGAAACATCTATGAGAGAGAGTCATCAATCAGCTGCCTCTTGCACACCCCCTACCGGGGATATGCCCGCAACCAAGGTACATGCCCTTGACTAGAATCGACCCGGGACCCTTCAGTCCCCAAGCTGACGCTCTATCCATTGAGCCAAACCGGTCCTGGCCCACATGCTTTTTAAAACCTAATGCTCACAAGGCATGAACAAGTAGTTTTATTAGAAGTCTGAAGCTATTGATTGGATCTTTGGAAGAGACAGGAATAAAGCAGCTCTGAAATGTTTCTCATTTTCAAGTACAGAGTGAGAAAAAAAAACCAAAACCATCAGTGGTTGTAAATGGAAAAAACACACTGATATTCATGAAGCACCAGCTACATCCGGAATAAAAACGTGTTTGGAAGTGTTGTCAGGGAGAAATATAAATAAGAAAAAAAGAAAAGAAAAGAAATGAATTTATATACACCAAGCCCTGATATTCTGTTACTTTCTTTAATCTTCCCGTCAACCTCATATGGAGATAGTGGGCTTCCCATGTTAGAGACGGAGGCTCAGCCAGGTCCAGTCTTTGTTTAAGGACACGCTGGGAAGGGGGGCTGGAGAGTGAGGAAGTGGCGTGCAGGAGGCAGTCGATGGAGGTTACACTCTCACACTGATGTATCTCTCTTCTCCCTTCCTCTCTAAAAATCAGTAAACTATTCTTTTAAAAAGGAGCAGAGATTCAAACCCAGATCTCTCTGCTTTTCCCCATGTCCAGGAAAGAGGAGGATGAGAAAAATACATGACTGTCCCTGGCCTCACTGGGGAGAGAAAAGAGGGGATGAGTGGTGTAGGGGTGTAGAGAAAGGGGTGCCTGGGTTGGTAGAAGTAGGGGAAGGGGCATTCCAGAGGACTGAGTGAGCAAAGTTTGGAGGTGGTGCAACCCAAGGCATGCTCACAGATGGCCCCTGTGTACGGCGATGTTTTAAAAAACCATCTAGGGAGATTTGGCTTCTAGTCATAACTTATGAGCAAAAGCTACATGTCCCGGCCCGCGGGGCAACAACGGGGGTACTCAGGAACCACCTAAGAGAATGAAACAAGGAACGCGAAGAAGGGAGGCAAGACAAAGTTCTCTGATCAAGCCTCGACTTTATTCTTTGAAATGGCTGTATATATACAGCAGAAACAAAGGGGGGCAGGGTTGCCTATGCAGAGGGGTCTTTGGCAGTGTACAATTGGTTTAGGCACTGAGTGGCAAGGTGGTAAGGTATCTGGCAACAGAGGATTGGCTAACTGCCAGGGCGGCATAACATCCCAAGTGTAACATTCCAAGGCTGGGCTATCTATGGGGGAGGATCAGGAAGGGGAAGTTGCAGAGATGCTAAGCAGCAGGTTAATCTTATCTTCTGGCCAAACCCTCAGGGCACGGCATAACTTCTGCTAGAAGGAACTTAATTCTATTTCCTTAAGACGGAGTTGCACATCTCTACTCTGATGGCTCCCAACAGCTACAGTTACCTTGTCGCTACATCTGTTGGTCCAGATCCCCAGGCCCTTCACAGAACAGCCAGCATCAAATGTGTTTCAGAATTCGGATCGAACCCGATTTTACAAAGGCAGTAATGTGGTGTGATGACCTAATGAAACTGGCATCTGTAGCGGGCCACACGGGCACCAGCCTAAAGGCCCTGGGACGGGTTGCCACTCACAGCAGGGGTTCTGTTCTACGGAGGTCCTTGGAGCAGTCCACAGAGTTCCAGGACCGAGTCTTTGTCCCGAGGGCGACCGCTCACGGGGAAAAAGAGATTTTGTCGGGTGGGTGCAGGAACTGCTCTGGCCTAACGAAGCCCCATGCTTGCAGAGACTGTCTCTTGTAGGAACGCCGCAGACATAGCTGCCAGGGCCTCACAGAACATCACCGCTTTCAGGGAAACCTCAAACCATGGGTCCCGACTTGCAGTTTCTCCCGGTGGAGGTGCAGCTTACTCTTCTGGGTGATCTTTACCATCAGCAGCCTTACCTGGTTATATATGCACTTGCCATATTTCCTTTATCCAGTGTCCAGGGGAACAGGCTGGCAGGAAATTAACTGCAGGTCATTTTTCTCATGCTTTGCTAACCCTTTACCCACTGGCGTATTTATCGTGTATTTGATAACACCTCCAGGGAGCTGGCATCTCATAATCAGAATTGATATTCCTACAGCAACATGAAGTGGGATACGTAGAGATTAAACGATCCTCACCTCAGCTCAGGTCAGGTTTTGTACCAAATGAGTTAGAGTTACGAAGCCTTGCGGTGTTTGGAGCACTTGGAGTTGGGTATTCTTTGGAAAGGGGACCGCAAACCTGTGCATGTCCCTCCTCTTAGGAAACTCACGCCCTGAAAGAATGCAGGCTGCTGTCTCACCGCTAGAGGGCCCCTGGTTCTCATTTTGCCTAGGATCCTTACTAATGGAGGTTTTCCTCCCTTCAGCTTGCAGATGCCGGCAAGCTCCCCAACCTGAAAGAGCTTCTCCAGTCCCCTGAAGATAAAGACAAACGGGCCTGCGAGCTGCTGAGCTGGATTTTATCCTCAAAGGCCCTGACGGTCCACAGTGCAGGGAAGTCAGAGGTGAGACTTGGATCCATAGGATCGCAGGTTCCTAGGGACCTCCTTGTGCACCACAGAACCCAGGCAGCTTATTGCAAATGCAGATGCCGCCAGAGACCCTGATTCTGTGTCTGTAGTGGAGCCCAGGAACTCGCACGCTGGCAATGCAAAGCTGTGTTCTTCCTCCTACTGGCCGTGTAGCCTTGAGCAGGTTTCTTGGTACATTTCAGTACCTCAGTTTCCTCATCTTTAAAATGGGGATACGAATAGTATGCTTCCATCGGGGAAATGGCTTTGAGAATTGAATGAATTGTCACACTTAGAACAATGTGTAAGGGCACATGCAAAGGGCTCTGTAATGCTGGGTATCACAAGCTGCCCATGTAATTCTGATGAGGGCGAACACTTGACCACATCTTAAGAAACATGGGCCTAATCCAGGTGTTAGGAAACGGAAAGGCAGAGCCTGAAATATTGGAACACCTCATGCTCTGGGTTTAAATTCCACTTCAACCATGCCTGGCCAGTGTGGCTCAGTGGGTGAGTATTGACCCATGCACCAAGAGGTCGCTGATTCGGTTTCTGGTCAGGGCACACACCTGGATTGTGGGCTCAATCCCCAGAAGGGGTTGTGCAGGAGGCAGCCCATTGATGATTCTCTCTCATCATTAATGTTTCTCTCTCTCCCTCTCCCTTCTTCTCTCTGTAAAAATTAATTTAAGAAAACTGAATTTTACTTCCACCCATAATTGGGTCTTCCTTTTTCCATTTGTAAATTGAGAATATTAATAGGTGCCTCGGAGGAGCGCTATAACAGAATGTGTTATAAAACTGCAGGTAAAGTAGATGAGATAATAGCTCCTTGACTTTGTTTTATGGACCAGTTAACGTCCATTAAAATATGGAGTGTTGGCATCCAGGATTATGTCAGCTTCTTATGGACCCAAGCAAGGGCATTAGCCTACCATGTATCACCATTTTATAAAAGGCTGTTTTAACACAAAAAAGGAGCGTGGTCCTGACCTTAGAATAGAGAACAGTTCTTCCAAAGACAGGGTCATGGCAACATTACAGCAGTGTGTGTATAAAATATATATATTTATATATATATATTACATTGACCTGAATTTTCTCTTTAAAAATTTTATTGATTGATTTTGGAAATAGGATGGAGAGAGAGGGGGAGAAAAAGAGAGGGAAACATTGATTTGTTGTTCAACTTACTTATGCATTCATTGGTTTATTCTTTTTTTAAAAAGTAATTTTATTGATTTTAGAGAGGATGGGAGAGAGAAATAGAAACATCAATGATGAGAGAGAATCATTGATCGGCTGCCTCCTGCATGCTTCCCCCCCACTGGGGGTCAAGCCCACAACAAGGGCACGTGTCCTGAATGGCAATTGAACTCTGACCTTCTAGTTCATAGGTCAGCATTCAACCACTAAGCCATGCCTGGTGGATGGTTTATTCCTATATGTGCCCTGTCTGGGGATTGAATCTGCAACCTTGGTGTCTCAGGATGATGCTCTAACCAGCTGAGCTATGGACCAGGGCTGCCCCAATTTTTCTTATTTAATCACAACCAAGAGAAAATTTCGCCTTCTCCATAGACTGTGACTTATTGTTTGGAAATCACTGAAATGATGTGGTTTCTGCCCTAAAGAGGATTGTTGCCCCTTAAGAAATAGCTCGCCCTTTTGTATCAATTCATAACAAGCCATCCCCCAAAATCCTAGTGGCTTAAAACAATACTGATTATTTCTCATGATTCTGTGGGTTGGTCAGGCGGTCCTTCTGGGAGGAGCTGGCTCCCCTGGGGCTGGGAGATCTAGGGTGGCCTCACTCATATGTCTGGGACTTCAGCTGGGATGGCTGCTAAGGTTGGGCCTTCCTCTATGGGGCACTCTTCCTCCTACAGGCCAGCAGAGCTTGTTCAAGCCTCTGTTTGCCACATGTTTACCAAGATCCCATCGGCAAGTCGCATGGCCAAGTCCAGATTCAGGGGGCGGTGAAATAGTGTCCACCTCGTGATGGAATCTTGGTGGAATTCCACCTGCAAAGTCACATTGCAGAGGGTTGGGAGGAAAAATATGTGGCCATTTTTTGCCATTTATCACACCTTTCTACCTCCTGAGATGATTGTAAAGATGGAATATGGGAAATAGATGTGAAAGTGATTAAAATTAAGTGATCTTTAGTTAGAAGGAACAATGCGTGCTTCTCAGCCTATTGTAGGAGAAAAACATCAGAGGAAGGCCGTGTTGAGCTGGAAGCTCTGAGCTTATTTGTAAATTGATGTCTTTATTCTCATGAAACCGGTTGTTCTCATGAACAGAGTCCACTAGACGTTAAGCCCAGGGTCTTTAGGAGGCCATCTTGGCAGCACATTTACCAGCTTCCCGAATAAAATTTCGACTCCCTTCGTGTTTTCAAGTTTGAAAAGATCCAAAAGCTGACGGGTGCCCCTCACACTCCTGTCCCTGTGCCGGACTTCCTGTTTGAAATCGAGTACTCCGACCCAGCCAACGCCAAGTTCTATGAGACCAAAGGAGAACGAGACCTCATCTACGCCTTCCATGGGAGCCGCCTAGAAAACTTCCATTCCATCATCCACAATGGCCTGCACTGCCATCTGAACAAGGTGGGGCCCAAGCCTGCTGGCATTTGGGCTGGTTTGGGGGGGTTGGCAGGTCAGTGGGCAAGGGGTAGGTTCCCTAAGTCCTTGCCACTCAAAGTGTGGCTCACAGACCGGCAGCAGCTGGGAGCCTGTGAAAATGCAGAATTGATTTTCACAGAGAGAAACGTCGATATGAGAGCACGGCATCGATTAGCTGCCTCCTGTTGGGGATTGAGCCCGCAACCCGGGCATGTGCCCTACTGGGAATGAAACTGGCAACCTTTCGGTGCACAGAACGATGGTCAACAAACCGAGCCATGCCAGCCAGGGCTCGCCGGCACTTTTTTTGCCTCTCTGGGAAGTGAGGGAGGAGAGGGCAGGCAGGAGCCTAAAAGACCACTTTAGCCGAAAAGACCACAACTCTGCAACCTGTGCAGATGGTCTTAAACTCCCTGAGCCTCAGTGCCCTCCTCCGTGCCACAGGGCACCGCCACCCCCTTCTGGTGTGCTGAGAGGATTGAAACAGTTAATGCATGCAAAGGCTCTTTCTGTGCTGGGCACCGAGGACACTGCTTTCCTAGGAGTTTGGGTGGTAGCAGTGCTGCAGCCTGTCCTCCGGGCATGCAGCACCTGCCGTGTCTGAGGGGCCGGCTCCCCGTGGCCGATGCAGCCCGGAGGCGGAGAGATGGCCCAGCAGATTAGCGACTAGTGCAGTTAGGTTTGTGGAGGATGACGGGCTTGTTTACACTGGCTTTCAGCTGGCTAGTTCGGCCAGGCTGCTGGAGCCCCGGCCTCCCCCTCACAGCAGAGCCAGCCTGAAGTTGCCTGCGGATTCTAGTCTGTACACCAGACCTTCGCTTCAGTCCCCCAGGGACTTGGCTGCTTAGCAGCATCTCATCAGAATCCTTTGCTCAAGTGTCTGCTCTTACCTCCTCCGTCTGGGTTTTCCGTGAGACGCCTGCCAGTGGAAGCTGTGAGATTGTTCTGGTGGGAGAGATACCCCAAGTGTCCCACTCTCCTGCTCACCTCAGCCAGGCTCCGGGTTCTCTGGCCCAGAAGGGGGAATCCATACAGGCTCAGGGGAGAATGGAGGTGGGGTCAGGTCAGAGGACATCCCGTATCCTTGGAGAGGTCTGTGTAGGCTTTTAAGACGTGGGCACTCTGCCTAACCCAGCAAGGGGCTTTCCAAAGGCCGAGCAAAGGCTTGTTGCATATCCCATAAGCGTCGCTTCATTGGCTTAGAATTGTGGAAGTCTGGTGCTACCAAACAAGACGTTTCTCAGTTCCCAAGCATAGGATGTTCGGTGTGCCTGACCAGAATCGAACCTGGGACCCTTCAGTCCGCAGGCCAACGCTCTGAGCCAAACCGGTTAGGGCTGGACTTTTAATATGATTTTCTCACTCGACCTTGACCACAGTAACGACTAGTTTGCCAGGCTACTCAGGTATGTATACAGATGACCTGTCGTCAGATGGGAGCGTGTTTAGTGTTAACCCCATAATGATGTCATAGCATTATTTGTGTTTATGCCTTTCATTTGGGGGAAAAAAAGGCTTGAAAATTCTGGGATTACAATTCCGTTGAAGAAAGACTTGTGCCGCTTTGCTGTTCCATTTTATACTTACCAGGCCTTGTTTCCTTTCCGGTGGGCTCTGCCATTCCAGACGTCCTTGTTCGGGGAAGGCACCTACCTCACCAGCGACCTGAGCCTGGCCCTCCTTTACAGCCCCCACGGCTACGGGTGGCAGCGCAGCCTCCTGGGCCCCGTGCTCAGCTGCGTGGCCGTGTGTGAGGTCATAGACCATCCCGATGTCAAGTGCCAGACCAAGAAGAAAGGTGAGTGCGCGCGTGGCCCGGACGAGGCTGCCGGCCTCGGGGCCGAGGCTCTTGCTGTTGGCCCGGCTGTTGGGCGGGGCACCCATGGCATGCTAAGGGACGGCTGGAGGCTGGAGCAATGCAGGACAGGGGCCTGCCTTCAAACAGTGAGCAAGCTCTCTATGGTACTGAACACACGGTGTAAAAGATGTCACTTACCATCAGGGGGTAGGTAGAGAGTGTCTGGTGAGGGGATCCGCTGGGCCGATCAGATGACGGGGCCACCGGTGGGTTCCAGTGCTCAGAGAAAGCTCTGGGGAGGATGTGAGATGCGACCGCTGGAAGTGAGTGTGCGAGGCCGGAGTGTGGGCTCCTGAGGGCAGGAAGGGGGGCTCAGTCAGTCTTGGGCACCTGGTATCGGTAGGGAGCCTGGTTCGTACTTTTTTTAAAAAAATTTTTTAAAATTAATTTTGTACAGAGAGCGAGAGGGATAGAGAGTTAGAAACATCGATAAGAGAGAGAGTCATCGATCAGCTGCCTCTTGCACACGCCCTACTGGGGATGTGCCCGCAACCAAGGTACATGCCCTTGACCGGAATTGAACTCGGGACCTTTCAGTCCCCAAGCTGACGCTCTATCCATTGAGCCAAACCGTTTTCGGCATGGTTCCTACTTGCTGTTCAGTAAATGTTTGCCAAATTGAAGCTAAATACGTGCGTGTAGGCCTGTCCCTCCGGGATGCTCTTGTGAGCGCTGGAGCCCTTGGAGGAGAGGCAACTGAGGCCGCGGACAGGAAACCCCGGGCTTCCAGGAAGCAGAGGACTCGCGGTCCGCCTCAGTCTACTTCCCTAATGTGTCCCTCAGATTGTCTGCCCGGTACCCCCTGCTGCTTTGCCTGCAAAGGCAGAAAAGTCACAGAACTGTCATTCTGGTCTCCAGAACTGGCCCGCAGGTTCCAAAGAGAAAAGGAAAATTGAGAAAACGGTTCCTGGCCTCTTAATGTAAAACAACTGGAACCGAGAATCGGGCCCAGGTCCGACGCCACCCTCTTAAACCAGACAGCATGAATGTTTGCATTTATAATCTTAGGAAGTTTGCAAACCGTGACATTGAACATCAACACAAAACCTTGCAGCGTCTGCTGTCACACAAGCTTTGACTTTTTTTTAAATTGCTAAAGATTTTCGTGGTACTAAAAGTTTTGTTTCTGTTTGTTTGTTTAAACAAGCCTTGGTACAAAGAGTAGGAGATGTGTTCTAAGAAGCTCGAATCCAGAATGGCTAATTTGAAATGCCTGCTAAGAGACATGTCTCAGATCAATCCCTGTTCCTCATCCCAGATTATTTTTTTTGTTTTGAACATCAATCTGCTGCTTTTCTCTGCTCTCCTTGTTCAGCCAAGTTTTCCCCACCTCATATCTCTTTTATTTTCCTATTCCTTTTTCTCCTTATCCTATTTGTCTCTCTGTTGATTTTCCTGTGTGTTTTTAAAAATATATTTTTATTGATTTCAGAGAGGAAGGGAGATGGGGAGAGAGAAACATCAATGATGAGAGAGAATCATTGACCGGCTGCCTCTTTTTTTTTTTTTAAATATATTGATTTTTTTACAGAGAGAAAGGGAGAGGAATAGAAAGCTAGAAACATCGATGAGAGAGAGACATCGACCAGAGCTGCTTCCTGCACATCTACCACTGGGGATGTGCCTGCAGCCAGTGTACATGTCCTTGACCGGAATCGAACCTGGGACCCTTCAGTCCACAGACCAACACTACCACTGAGCCAAACTGGTTTTGGCGACCTGCTGCCTCTTGAATGCTCCACCCTGGTGATGGAGCCTGCAATCCAGGCATATGCCCTAACCAGGAATCAAACCGAGGCTTCCTGTTTCATAGGTTGACGCTCAATCCAGGCATATGCCCTAACCAGGAATCAAACCGAGGCTTCCTGTTTCATAGGTTGACGCTCAATACTGACCCACTGATTCTCCTGTTCTGTGTTGTTTTTTATTTTATTTTTGTGACACACACACACACCTATTTCTCAGCCTGCTGAGGCTTCTCCATTCCAAAGACCAGGAGGCTTGACCCATTTACATTCATAATTTGCTGCTTTTGTTATTGTATCCCTTACCCCACCCCCAGTAAAGTGGTGCTTTCCTTTCCTTACTCAGATTCCAAGGAGATAGATCGCAGGAGAGCAAGAATCAAGCACAGTGAAGGGGGAGACATCCCTCCAAAGTACTTTGTGGTCACCAACAACCAGCTCCTGCGAGTGAAGTACCTGCTGGTGTACTCACAGAAGCAGGCCAAGAGGTGAGGACGGTCCTGACTGTGCCCGGGAGGACAGCTAAGGGCTACCTTAAAAATGCAGGGTCCGTTGTTACCAGCACCCCCTTCCCTCCAGCTATGTGTAAAGTATAGAAAGCTCTGTGCTAGACATGGGGAGGAGTGAGGATAAGGTTGTATAAGATGCGGTCCTGGCCCATCTGGCATGGCTCAGTGGTTGAGCGTCGACCTATGAACCAGAAGGTCACAGTTCGATTTTTGGTCAGGGCACATGCCTGAGTTGCAGGCTCGATCCCCAATGGGGGGCATGCAGGAGGCAGCTGATCAATGATTCTCTCTCATCACTTCTCTTTTTCTCTGCCCCACCTCCCCCCCACCTCCCTCTCTCATTAATAAAAAAGATGGCCTGGCCCTTTGAGGACTGTATATTCTAGGGAAGAAGACAGATTCGTAAACACAGTGACATGAGGGACTGAATGAAGCCAAATTGGCTGCCCCAGACCATGGGTCCCTCAGCCCTGTGCTCCTAGTTTCACTCTGAAACCCATTGATTAGATTAAGCTGAGAGGCAGGGTGGTGGCTGGACACTGGGATTGGGTGCTGCCCAGCTCAGTCACTTCCCATGGTGGCTGTTGAACCACCATCTTCTCTCTGGACCTGAAATACTTCATCTTCATCTTTATTTATTTATTTTTTTAAATACATTTTTATTGATTTCAGAGAGGAAGGGGGCTGGAAAGAGAGAGAGAGATTGAAGCATCAATGATGAGAATCATTGATCAGCTGCCTCCTGCACGCCCCCTACTGGGGATCGAGCCTGCAACCCAGGCACGTGTCCTGACTGGGAATCTAACCGTGACTTCCTGGTTCATAGTTCGATGCTCAACCACTGAGCCATGTGGGCCGGGCCATCTTCATCTTTTTTTTTTTTTTTTAAATATATTAAAAACACCGATGAGAGAGAGACATCAATCAGCTGCCTTCGGCACGCCCCCTACTGGGGATGTGCCCGCAACCACGGTACATGCCCTTGACTGGAATCGAACCTGGGACCTTTAAGTCCGCAGGCCGACGCTCAATCCACTGAGCCAAACCAGTCTCGGCCTATCTTCATCTTTAAAGTGGAAGTGTTGAACCCAATGGCAGATGAGGCCTCTGACTTCTAAAAGCCATGGTAGATGCCTTATCCCATCTCAGCGGTGTGGCGGTGGTGGTGGTGGCGGTGGTGGTGGTGGTGGTGGCGGTGGCGGTGGTGGTGTGTACAGGGTTCTCCAGGGTCGAGGTCTTGCTGTCTTGTTGGGGTCCAGCTTTTCATGGGGATGAGCAGCAGATGAGCAACTAAGACAGAAAAGGGGATCACTTAATACTTCCCACCCCTGTTGTACATGTCAGAGGTTTCCATGCTTCAGGAAAAAACCCTCTTCCCCTCCAATTTGGGAAATTCGTATAACATTCCTGAGTCTGGTGGACATTATCCTTTGGTTTAAAGTCATCTGGCTCCTTTGTATTTGAAAATTCCATTCCTCCCCACTTCTCCCTGGAATGTTTCTGTAGTGCACACTTGGCCCGTTTAGATCATCTCCCAGCGGGCCAGAGAGGATTTCCCTGGCACAGGCTGATACCTTGTAGGTGTCTAAAAGTGAAACGGCTTTTGCTAAGTAACCCGCCGCCTGCTGCCATCTGAGCAGACCCCTTGAGCGAGGCCATTCTTGTAGACACCAAAGCCCTGCCTGAGGAACGGCGGGGCAGGGGAGGGAGAAGAGGAGCAGCTATAAAAGACACTCGGGATGAGCTCACTGCACAGCTGTCCTTGTACATTCAGAACGTGTTCTGGTGAAAGGCGTGCCGGTGCCAGGGCAAACAGCCTCAGCTTTCTCGAGCAAAGGAGAACGCACGAAGCTTCATTTCATGGCTCACTCAGAGGATGAAATTCATCATTTCATCCTGGAGCCAGAAGTTGTTGCATACACTTAAAAAAAATGTTCTTCTCATTTTGCCAACATCACTCTTTTTTCCCTTTTAAGCAGGGCTTCGAGCCAGCTGTCCTGGTTTTCCAGCCATTGGTTTACGGTCATGATATTCCTGTACCTGCTGCTGCTGCTCATCGTGAGTGTCATCAACTCCTCCTCTTTCCAACACTTTTGGAACCGTGCGAAGAGATAATCTTCCTGGGCCTGGTGCGGGGACCACCTCAACCACGTGCCTTGTTTCTGTACCTCCCACGCCCCACGTCCAGCCAGGTCGAGCCTGGGGGCCGGTTGGGGACCGCAGGACAATTTCCATACGCCATAAATGTTTCCATTGCCTTTGCTGATGCTCCAGCCCCACTCCGGCCAGTGGGGACCACTGGACCCTCACTTCTAGGTTTCGGGGAGCCCTCCTGTCTGCTCCTGCCTCAGCAGCCCTAAGGGAGTTGGCTTTTCCGTCAGGGCCAAAGGAAAAAAGTCCTGCTGCATTTGAAAACAAAGTGTCCAAGCTGTCAGTGGTATGTTTACAATCGCTCCTGGCGGACGCTGGCCCTTTCTCTAATGCCTTCTGGAAGGCGGAAAATGCGTAGTGGGGACGATAAATCACCAGGCAGTTGCCTTGTTTTGACTTGAGACACTCAAGAGGAATAGTCATGTTTCTCATAAAAAAATCGGTGGGGATCAGTTTTTGAATTCCATCCACCTTTGTAAGTACAAAACATTTTCAGTTTTCTCAAGTCAACAAACAGCACTCTGCTGCAGCTGTAACCCCGTGCCCGACCACGGATGAGAAAGGAAGGAGTCAGAGATCTGATTAAAAAATACAAACCTAACAGCAGGCCACTCAAGTGTCTTTTTCTAAAAATTACCAACGGCTAATTATAGCTGCGGGCCTGCCTCCATTCTCGTTCTCACGAAGCTGCCTTGGTCGCGGCCTGCCAGCCACCAGGGCCACGAGGCAGGCCCTCTGCCGCTCTCAGCCTCCAAGACTCGGATACGCGTGGACTGCGCCTCCCTCGGAGGGGTCGCAGGTCCTAAAAGCCTCTGGCTGCCCAGAGAGCCTTGGTTCTACTCGCCATATTCTCTGCTTCTCCCCCCGCCTGCTTGGGCCATAATGGAGCCCTGTCTTACTGGTGGGGATGGGGGGAGAGGTTTCTGTAAGGAACGGGGGAAGTAATTTTCTATAATTTGTGAAGTGGAAAAGCCACTATCATGGTTTTTACATTGACTATTGGAACATTTCAAAAATAATAAAGGTATTTTCCTAATTACCAGGTCGCCTTTGTGACGGCTTTCCGCCTCAGCCCGTTTGCCTTGTATGCCCTTTTGCTCGAAATCTTACCCTCTTTTTCCTTCCTTGTCTGAAGGGGCTGTTTGCTGGAAAGCATATACATCACCTGGTAGGTGTTGACGTACTAAATATGAGCACCTACTGTGTGCCAGGCACTGGACATAGGGCAGGACCAAGGCCAAATGTCCCTGTCCGCATCGAGCTGACAGTCTGGCAAGATGGGCAGGTGGACACACTCAGCAGAGAGGTTGACATTATATGGTGTTATTATAGAAAGGAAATTTTGGGAAATACTTGACAAAACGTCTTATCCTGGCCTGGAATTGTGGAAGTGACACATGTAGCACTGCAGTGTGCCTTATGTGTGATTTCTTTAATTCTCATGACTGATAAAGAAAAAAAAAATTGAAATCCCAGAGAGTTTAGATAGCTAGCCCAAGGTTACTTGGCCAGGAAGTGGCAGGGCTGGGAGTTGAACTAGGCAGACTGGTTTCTGACTGTGAGCTCATAGCCCCCCTCATCCTACCCCTGGCTCCCAGAAAAGGGGATGTTCAGCTGAAACCTGAAAGAGCTGTCAGTACTAGGCTAAAAGGTGGAAGAAGAGTGTTTTGGGCAGCGGGAATAGCACACGTAAAGACCTCGAGTTCTTAATGGAGAAGCTAACAGCAGGAGGGTCCTAAGAAGAGGCTGTGGTGAGAAATGGGGCTGGGGAGGTGGGCAGAAGCCAGATCATGAGAGACTTTACAAGCTGTGGGTAGGGGACACCGTTAGAAGGTTTTTGGCAGAGCTTTTAAGTGGGACATCAGATGTGGTTTTGAGAAAAGTCACTCTGGTGGGTGATTAGAGAATGGATTTGGGGTTATTTTGAGGATTAAAAGAACTGATAATTTCTAGTAGTGCCCAGCACGGAGTAAAACCTGGTATGTTTCACCTACTATCATCATCATCATCATCACCATCTCTGTTATTTATTTTTAATGGCTCAGTAGAGGGGATGAGCATGCAAAGGAGACAGCAGGAATATCCAGGGAAATAGGAGGAAACCAAGGCAACAGTTTCATAGAAGCCAAAAAGGAAGGCTTGATGAGTTGTGTCAAATGCTGCTGTGTAGTCAAGATTATACCTGAGAAGTATCTGTTGGATTTACTGAATTGGAGCTCACTGGTGAATTTGGTGGGAGTTCAGTGTAAGGCAAGCATGTCAAACTCAAAGGTTAACATGGGCCAAGTAAACAAGGTTTAAGTTTATGTGGGCTGCAAATAAACAAAAGCTTCGATTTTCATAGAAACTTAGGTTTATTTTGATAGAGACATGCTGAATACAAAGGGCTGAAATAAATGAGTAATCGTTAACATAAAATAGAACATTTTAATAAAAATTAATATTTTTCTTGAACATTAACTTACCAGTCATTGAATAACTGCACAAATTAATAAGCATAACACAAATAAACCTATTTTTCTTGTTCTCCAAAAGTAAATATTTCCTATTGCACACACCAAACAAGTCAGTACAAGACTAATGATGTGGCAATCTACTGCAAAAATATTTGCTGCTGGTATTAGTGGGGAGAAATGGTGTGCCTGCACGTAAGGCAAGTGAGGGAAATGAATGCAACATGATTATAGTAATCAATCATTAATGAATGCTGTAGTTATTAATAACTAGAGGCATGTTGCACAAAGATTCCTGCAATAGGCCTTCCTTCCTTCCTGGCTGCGGGCACCAGTTTTCCTCTACTACCCGGGACCCAGGCCTTCGCTCTGGCCGCTGCATTCCATCTTTGCTTCAGCTGGAGTCTTTGCTCTGGCCAGAGTCTTCATCTTCACTCCAGCCTGAGCACTGCTTCTATAGCTCCCTCTGCTCACCCCCTTCCCCCTCATAGCAGGCATCCCTGCCCGGCCACTCCGTGCCTGCATGCATGCTATCCAGAGGCCTGGAGCAGCTGGGGGGTGGGGCCACTGCTATCTTTGTTGAGTTAATTTGCATACTCACTCCTGATTGGCTAGTTGGCGTCGCAAAGTGATGGTCAGTTTGAATAATTCTCTTTTATTAGTGTAGATTATATGTAACGGGATACTGTAAAAATTAAGTTACAAAATTTTTATTAAAATGTTTCTTACATACCGTTATATTGTCTGGGCCACAAAAATATTTATTTTTGGGCCACATGCAGCCTGCCGGCGAAGTTTGATATGCTTGGAAGGGATTTGGACAAAGTCCGATGGCACAAATGTGAAATGTTGTGCATGATTTCCAGGGTTCTCAGATAATATTTATTTAAAACTTAGCCTTTTTTTCTTGAAGCTTCCCCCCTCTCCCCCCCCCAAAAAAAGGGGGGCAATGCATTTTATCTAACGTGAAACAGACCCTGAGGATGAGTGAAGAATGGTCCTGCCCTCTGTGCTCTCAGACTAGGAGGGGGCCATTGGACAAATAGCTTTTGATATGGGGAGAAATCCCTGGAATTTAGAGGGTTGGCGTGGGCAGGAGGGAAGGCTAGAGCAGGGCCACGTGATGATGTTCACAGGCTCTAGGAACTTTTGCCTTCATGGGCCCTCGACTCAATAAAAAATATTTAAAATTACATTTTATGATTGCATTGGTATAAAGAGGAATATATTACTATTATATACTAAAATGTTCTCTTCCACTTATAAGCTCATTAATTCCCCCTCCCCCTCCTTCTGATTGTAAAAGAAATGAAGATTTTATTTTCGTAATGTGGGTCTTAGGCATTGTCCCTACAAGACCTAATGGATGAGCCAGCCCTGGACTTAAGGTAATGAGGGACAGTGTGAGATCTCTGGGTGCTTAGGAATGGAGAGGTAGGAAGGAGACAAGCCCTAAGAACTCAGTTCTATTTAGCATGACCCTATATCTAAGGCAGAGCCTACAGGCCAGCTAAAGGAAAAGGCACATTTGGTGTTGGGAGTTGGGCGTTAAGGAGGCTCATGCTGCAGATACTTTTTCGTGGAGGAGGAAGAAACAGTGTCCTTGCTGACACCCCACCCCCTCTTGGGCCAAGAGCTTCCCCAGGCAGAGAAGACCAGATGGTGGTTCAGTTGGAACCACCTCACCCTGGGGCTCCAGCTGCCTTGGTCTTGTGAAAACAACCCCGTGGAGCCTCCGTCACTAAGTCACTGTCAGGGAGGACGGCCTGGGGAGGGGTGGCAGGCGAGCCTGCACAGGTGAGGCACCTGCTCCTGGGAAGAGCTGAGAATCCTGTGAAGTGCCAGTTTCCACCACAAAGGGCAGCGGTTTTGTTCTGTGGGCTTTTGGACAAGTGTCCGTGTATGTGAGAAAGACCAGAAGTAGGGTTGTGGTTCACTGTTGTTCCTTATTAATTCATTTTATTAAACCCCGATTGCCTATAAAACCAGGGGTGGATGGGGAATTTGTGATTGAAAGAGCCCAATTCAGATATTTTCTTTAGAACATGGCCCCAGGCATCTGAGCCCATTCCTGCTGCTAAACCCAGGAGGTTTGTGTTGGCTTCGAATCAGCAGCACTTACCCTCCCAGTTACCATGGCGATTCTTGGGTGGGAGGTGCAGGACTGGATTCAGTGCCTCACATACACCAAATCCCAGGACCGTACCCCTCCCTCAGGCCCCTCCATGGCCCCCACCCGTCTCCTCACTCTGCTCATCTCCACCCTGCCCCACCTCCTGAGTTTTCCATCTCTTGGCCTTTGTTTGTTTTTGCTTTTGTCAGTCTCTTTCCTCTGGATGGGTTTCTGTTTGTTTCCGAACTGTCTGGGGCTCTGCACCATGGAGACAGTGTCCTGGGCTGCCCCTAGCCCTGATCTGGTTAGAATAAGCCCCTCTCCTTTGCATGCCTCTCCGATCTCATGTGAGGAACATCCCAAACAGATCACCACATTCCGAGTACAGATAGAAACCA